TCTTCAAACGATGGTCTATATGCCTTGAGGGTTTCAGGTCATAATAAATGTTGGGGTTATATCTAGGGTCAGGTTAGGATTTGCTTTCTCAGGTGTGATTTTTTTTTTTTTTTTTTTTTTTTTTGTGACCAGTTCATTTATTGCTGTGATGATTTGAATTTCTTGAATTTGTTTTGTTGCCAGTTATTATCGGCACAATTTGGATTTTTTTTGTGCTAAACACAATGCACTTGGATCCCAACAAGCAATCAGGAATTTTAAAATGCTGCAGTTCAATAAAATGTTCCTTTACTTTTGTAATTATTGTGTGATGTGCATTTGAGATGAACCCGAGTGGACTAAAAAGAAACTATATAATTGTTTGGAATCAATTTTATTTTAAATCTTAAAGTAATAAAGGAGTGCGCTAAATAGAATCACAAATAAATAACCACAAAATAATGTTCATAATAATAAAGTCCAACCACCATTCAGAGTGATAATAAATAAATAAAACGATCTTGTGTGAAAAAAAACTGTGGAAAAAAGTCACACAAGATCGTTTTATTTATTTATTATCACTCTGAATGGTGGTTGGACTTTATTATTATGAACATTATTTTGTGGTTATTTATTTGTGATTCTATTTAGCGCACTCCTTTATTACTTTAATATTTACCTTTTTTTGGTTAGGACTGCAGCTTTGTGTTGATTTATTGGCGCTTCTTTTTATTATTTTTTATTTTAAATCTTGGCTGGAATTTTGGATAGCCTGGAGAAGAGTTCATTCTGTCAGGTTTTTGTTTATGTCTATGGCCCCTAGTATGAATGTTTTCACTCACGTCCTGTTCATGTGACACCAGTACAAGAAGTTCTAACCCTTCCCCCACTCTATTCAGAATGCGTTTTTGTCTCTGTCCCTGCAAAAGAGCTTTCCCTACTTTGCTGAGTAAGGCAGGCTATAGATGGTGTGATTTTCTGAAAGAAAATGGCTAGACTCCCCCATCAACACAGTTCCTTCCAAGGAATTATTGTTCTCCCGGCAGGGAACTGGGGAGAGGGAGCTGTCCCTGCCTGGGGAACACAGTGATTATTGTTAGCAGCCAGGGCAGACTGACCGTTCGGGCACTGCCCGGGGTCAGTAGGGGGCCCCATGAGATGCCCCTGGTAACTTTTTTTTTTTTTTATAGACTTTTTTGGGTGTGCTTTGAGTGTGGGCAAGGACACAGGGGTACCATGATTCCCTATTGCCCAGGGGCCCCATGAGTTGTCAGTCCGCACTGCCTGGGGTCAGTAGGGGGCCCCATGAGATGCCCCTGGTACCTTTTTTTTTTTTTTTTTTTTATAGACTTTTTTTGGTGTGCTTTGAGTGTGGGCAAGGACACAGGGGCCCCATGATCCCCTATTGCCCAGGGGGCCCCATGAGTTGTCAGTCCGCCCCTGTTAGCAGCTATAGCCGCTGGCAATAATCACGTGTAAAAACCAACATGCTGGTTGTACCTGAGTTGATAAATCGACTTGAGTTCATTCAGCCTGCCCATAGATGGTTCAAATCAAATCTATGGCTGGCTTAAGGAGGCTTTGGAATAGGAATGTCTGGTCACCACACAAAAGATTAACCAGAAGTACATCCCTTGAAATGCCATGTTGGAAATAGCTACATTGGAACCTACCTCTGTGACTACTTGGTGCACTGACTCACGATGAAAAATCATTTGTAAACTGTATATTCTGAACGTCCATTTGGTTTTTGTCCAATTAACAGGCAAAATCGCAAATCATTCGACTTTGGACACCTGAAAAATCAAAGGAAAGCGTTGAAAAATTTTTGCCAAATGAAAGAAAAATTGAAAAGTCCAGGGTTCAGGAAGGATTGGTGATCATTTGACCACTGTGATTGGCTGACACAGCTGTCGTGTGTCAATTCCACCAGCTATCAGTTGTTATTGGGGACCAGGAGCTATCTCTGACAGTTCGATCTCTGTACTGGGACCATGCAGTGAGTGTACTCTCCGAACAGGAACATCGGATAAGTTCACCTTTTGTTACATGTTACACCCACGTTCAGACCGTCTCCCCGATCCCCGCTTTGACAGCTAGAGGGGGATATTCTCCCTCCTCGCTGTCAAATTTTTACAAAAACGCCCGCCCACACGGCCGCATCCCTCATCTACAGCCATCTGTGAATGAGAGACTACAAGTCTCGACAGTTTTAGTGGCTGTCCTCAATGAACTACCACGCTGCGAAGCGCCGCGGTAGTTCATTCATTCTTCCTGTCAGTATATCTGCTTGACCATACATCCCGTACGAGCAAGCAGATAAACTGACAGGTCAGCAGGAGACCTGCATGGCATCATCGATCTACTGATCGCTGGTGCAATGCTTTCCAGGCTCCTGCAGACAAAAATGATACCTGCAAAAAAATGTGCATTTATTGTTTTTTTCTAAAAGGTGAACTTATCCCATCATTTTGTTTCCTAAGGCTGGTTATATATAGATGAGGCCATTTTTTTTTTTCTTCAACCAGCAGGTTGAAGAAAAAAAAAACCTAAACTGACAGGTCAGCAGGAGACCTGCATGGCATTATCGATCTACTGATTGCTGGTGCAATGCTTTCCAGGCTCCCGCCAAAAATAATAAATGCACTTTTTTTTACCTGCAAAAAAAATAATTTTTTTTTTTTTTTTAATGTGAACTTATATATAAGTTGTTTCCGAAGTCTGGTTATATATAGATGAGGCCATTTTTTTTTTTCTTCAACCAGCAGGTTGAACAAAAAAAAAACCTAAACTGACAGGTCAGCAAGAGACCTGCATGGCATTATCGATCTACTGATCGCTGGTGCAATGCTTTCCAGGCTCCCGCCAAAAATAATAAATGCACTTTTTTTTTACCTGCAAAAAAATATATATATTTTTTTTTTTAAAGGTGAACTTATCCTATAATTTGTTTCCGAAGGCTGGTTATATATAGATGAGGCCATTTTTTTGCTTCAATCAGCAGGTTGAATGTAAAAAAAACTGACCCAATTTCCCAATCTAGACATTCACTCTGAATGGGGGGAATCCTCCCCATTTTGCCTTTGTATTCTGATGGTGGGGAAGACTTCCCAGCTGTAAGAATACACAGATCAGCACTGCAGGCTATAGAGATTGAGAGGAAATTTTCCAATAGCGTGGCTGAACAGAAGTCGATCGGAAGTGGCTGAAATTCGCTCCATGTGTGGCAAGCTTAACCATAACCACAGTACACACTACATGTCTGAAAGTCTTAGGACTGATCCTTAAAACCTGAAAATCTTAAGATTTCCGCTCTTAAGACTTCTGTTCCGGTGACAACAGTCACAAGGACAGGGATTGAGGATGAGTATGCCTAATGGACAAATGCAGCTGAAGAAACTTGACAGGTTTTGTAACTCTTCCCAGAAACTAGAAAAAACATAATTTACCTAAATTTGCTAATAAAAATGAAATTTGTGTATCCCTCACCTACACATGCAAGATATAATATAAAGGAGGAATCTAATAGAGACTATCATTTACCTTAATCTACTGTCCCATGGCAACTAGAACTCACCCTGGAATGTGGTCAGGTCTGCAATGTTATCACGTACTATAAAGGACAAGATGGGCAGCAATACAACCATAGAAAAATTGTGGCTTCCTGGGACTAAGCATTACTACTAGTCCCTGAAAGCTTGTCAAGCCCAGAAGCCCACCACACCATGGAACAAGGTAACTTCTCTCTGTTACACCCCTTTTGTCAAAATACGCATTCTATCCCGTGTGTGCTGGGGGGACACAAAGGTTTAGACTTTTGGGTCAGCCGAAAGTTGGAATTTAATATTTATTATCTACATTATTAGTTCAACTTGTTCTCTGGAAGGATCCACATTTAACCTTCCCACACCCAGCCTGGGCAACTCTAATAGAGGAAGGATTGGTGATCATTTGACCACTGTGATTGGCTGACACAGATGTCACATGTGTCAATTCCACCAGCTATCAGTTGTTATTGGGGACCAGGAGCTATCTCTTGACAGTTCGGTCTCTGTACTGTGACCATGCAGTGCGTGTACTCTCAGAACAGGAACATCGGCCACCCAGCGATGCATACAGTATGTGCAGCATGAGTGATAAAGCCCACTCTTTTGCCACCGCACATATGTGTTAAGTGACATAGGTTGTTGAGATCCAGCCTGCACATCTAGTAGAGAACCTACGATCCTGAGATTGTCTTTAAAGGAAACCAGTACTGAGAGAAATATAGACAAAACTACAGTTACTAAACTTGGCTTCTGAAAATTCTGTTTTCCTGGCTGCTGGTTCAACAACCTCGTATTATCAGATTTCCTGAACCAGAAGGGGTGCTCTAGAATGCTCTAGATCAGTGAATGAGAAATTCTTAAAAAGACAGCCAGGAAATAGGTATTTTTAGAAGAACGTCAGCAATGGAAGCCTCCATATTGGGTTTGGTATTGGTTTGATTAAAGTAAATCAGAACTTTTTAAAGTCATTTTTAAATGAATCCTGTCCCAGAGATACAACAGAAAGTAAAGAAAAATGTCTCCTGCGTGAAGAGGCCTACCTTGGCTGGTCATCTGCCAATGTGGACAACTGTTCTGGTGACAATCGCCACCTGTTCCGTGACAACTTAAAATTCTGGATTTGCGATCACTTTCTGTCTCGGTGACAATGGACACCAGGACTAAACAAAGGCTCTCAGCAGCGGGAACACAGACCACAATAAAAACCTGATGTTTTAATCCTTTTATACTTTGTCCATAATTTTAAAAAATATGTGCTGCTCAAAAAAATTAAAGGAACACTTTTTAATCAGAGTATAGCTTCAAGTCAATGAAACTCCTGGGATATTGATCTGGTCAGTTAACCCCTTCGCGCCGGCCGCACACAAATGTGCGGCCTCCCGGCGTCTGGGCCTAGACGCCGCGCGGCGGCCGTACATTTGCGTTCAGGTATGAAAAAAACATATGTGCTGAGAGCGCGCCCTGGTTCACATATATGCAGCTGTGCAGGCCGCTTTTTGCGTGGGCGCGAGAGCCCATTCATTTGAATGGACTCCCGTGCCTCGTGACACGCAGGGAAGAAGTCCCTGCACTTTTTTGGAAAACGCAGCCCGCACTGGAACCTCGGTTCCCATTACGGTTGCGATTTCCAGTGCGGGCGGCGTGCCATTACATCTAATGGCAATCGCCCTCGGGGTCTGCATTTCTCTGTGCGGGTGGTGCGGCTTTAATCAGTTTCAGCTGCTCTGGTGTTAATGAAATTAACAACAGGCGCACTAGATGGGCAACAATGAGATGACCCCAAAAACAGGAATGGTTTTACAGGTGGAGGCCACTGACATTTTTTTCCCTACTCATCTTTTCTGACTGTTTTTCACTAGTTTTACATTTGGCTAGGGTCAGTGTCACTACTGGTAGCATGAGGTGATACCTGGACCCTACAGAGGTTGCACAGGCAGTCCAACTCCTCCAGGATGGCACATCAATACGTGTCATTGCCAGAAGATTTGCTGTGTCTCTCAGCACAGGCTCAAGAGTATGGAGGAGATTCCAGGAGACAGGCAGTTACTCTAGGAGAGCTGGACAGGGCCGTAGAAGGTCTTTAACCCATCAGCAGGACCGGTATCTGCTCCTTTGTGCAATGAGGAACAGGATGATCACTGCCAGAGCCCTACAAAATGACCTCCAGCAGGCCACTGGTGTGAATGTCTCTGACCAAACAATCAGAAACAGACTTCAAGAGGGTGGCCGGAGGGCCCGACGTCCTTTAGTGGCCCCTGTGCTCACTGCCCGGCACCATAGAGCTTGATTGGCATTTGCCATTGAACACCAGAATTGGCAGGCCCACCACTGGCGCCCTGTGCTTTTCACAGATGAGAGCAGGTTCACCCTGAGCACATGTGACAGACGTGAAAGGGTCTGGAGAAGACGTGGAAAACATTAAGCTGCCTGTAACATCGTTCAGCATGACTGTTTTGGAAGTGGGTCAGTGATGGTCTGGGGAGGCATATCCATGGAGGGACGCACAGACCTCTACAGGCTAGACAATGGCCCCCTGACTGCCATTAGGTATCGGGATGAAATCCTTGGACCCATTGTCAGGCACTACGCTGGTGCAGTGGGTCCTGGGTTCCTCCTGGTGCACGACAATGCCCGGCCTCATGTGTTGAGAGTATGCAGGCAGTTCCTGGAGGATGAAGGAATTGATACCATTGAATGGCCCCCACGCTCACCTGACCTAAATCCAATAGAAAACCTTAGTGATGCCCTGGTCCAGATCTGGGAGGAAATACCCCAGGAAACCATCTGTCGTCTCATTAGGAGCATGTCCCAACGTTGTCAGGTATGCATACAAGCACGTGGGGGCCATACAAACTACTGAGTACCATTTTGAGTTGCTGCAATGAAATTTCAGCAAAATGGACTAGCCTGTTGCATGATTTTTTCAATTCTCATTTTCATCAAATGATGGGGCACCCTTACGTTCCTTACTCATTACCCCGTCCATATCCGTATAGATATCCAACATGATATTTTTCCCCATTGAGATTTGATGTGTTTTCAAAGTGATCCTTTCATTTTTTTTGAGTAGTGCATATTGTTGGCTTTATATACACTTTAAAACAAAAATGCACAATGTCTGCAATCTGATGTTGCCAAGGTTTTTAGATTTGTCTTCTCTTAGATTGCATAATAAAAATCAAATCACATTGCAGAGGCTTGTTATTCATAAAAAATACATATTTTTATTGAAATAAAAAAACAATATTATATCCAACAAAAAACATTTTTCACATCTATAAATGTATAAAATGTGTAGTCTTTGGATTGTTTAGAATAAATTATGCAGATAAATAAATGTTTGAAATATTATTTTCATCTAAGAAGGTCTGGCACACACAGTTTGTGATGCTCCACCAGTCTTAAAGTACAGGTCCTTTTAAACGTTGTGCTGTTCTTGATGTAAGATGTCAATTATGCTCAGTCCCAAAGTTCAAATTCAAGTCCTTGTTGGTGTAAGCACTGTGAAGTCTTTAATCCACCTCTTCAATGGTAGGTCCGGGGTTGCAGCCTTGTCTGGCCTGAGAACTGCAGCTGGCTCCTGGCATCCCACCTCCTGCTGCCCCTTGGTACAATCTGGAGATGATAGGGTTACATACTCTCTCCAGCTCCTTCTGCTGGTGGATGTACTCCTCTTTCTCAGCCAGATGGTTCTTGTCCAGCCATGACAGGACCTCATTACACTTATCCACTATGGCCTTCTTATCTGATGCACTCATTTTCTCCTTGATATTGTCATTCTCCACTGTGCTCTTCAGATTAAAGACATAGGACTCCAGAGAATTCTTAGCAGCAACCCTCTCCCTCTGGACATCATCATCTGCCTTGTACCTTTCTGCTTCCTGCAGCATCTTCTCTATTTCCTCTTTGCTCAGTCTGCCCTTGTCATTGGTGATTGTGATTTTGTTGTGCTTTCCTGAGCTTTTGTCCATAGCGGACACATTGAGGATTCCGTTGGCATCAATGTCAAAAGTTACTTCAATTTGTGGCACTCCACGTGGAGCTGGAGGAATGCCACTCAGTTCAAACTTGCCCAGGAGGTTGTTGTCATTTGTCATTGCTCTCTCACCCTCGAAGACCTGGATGAGGACACCTGGCTGGTTGTCAGAGTAGGTGCTGAAGATCTGGGTCTGTTTGGTGGGAATGGTGGTGTTATGTTTGATGAGTACAGTCATCACCCCTCCTGCTGTTTCTAGACCAAGAGACAGTGGGGCCACATCCAGCAGGAGCAGATCCTGGACCTTCTCAGACTTGTCACCAGTCAGGATGGCAGCTTGTACAGCAGCTCCATAAGCAACAGCTTCATCAGGGTTGATGCCCTTGTTTAGCTCCTTTCCGTTGAAGAAGTCTTGAAGGAGTTTCTGCACCTTGGGAATACGTGTAGATCCTCCGACCAGAACAATGTCATGAATCTGAGATTTGTCCATCTTGGCATCTCTCAGGGCCTTTTCAACGGGGTCCAGGGTTCCCCTGAAGAGGTCTGAACAGAGTTCCTCAAAGCGAGCCCTGGTGATGGAAGTGTACAAGTCAATGCCCTCATACAGGGAGTCAATCTCAATGCTGGACTGGGTACTGGAGGACAGGGTTCGCTTGGCTCTCTCACAAGCTGTTCTGAGCCTCCTCAGAGCTCTCTTATTCTGACTGATGTCCTTCTTGTGCTTATGCTTGAATTCCTCCACAAAGTGGTTCACCATTCGGTTATCAAAGTCTTCTCCACCAAGATGGGTGTCACCTGCTGTGGCCTTCACCTCAAAGACACCATCATCAATAGTGAGGATGGACACATCAAATGTGCCACCTCCCAAGTCAAAAATCAGAACGTTGCGTTCACCTCGACTTCCTTTATCCAAGCCATAAGCAATGGCAGCAGCTGTGGGCTCATTAATGATTCTCAGCACATTTAAACCAGCTATGACCCCGGCATCCTTAGTGGCTTGACGCTGTGAGTCATTGAAATAGGCTGGCACAGTGATCACGGCATTTCTCACAGGATGACCCAGGTATGCCTCAGCTGTTTCCTTCATCTTCAACAAGACCATGGAGGAAATTTCCTCAGGTGTGAAGGTCTTCTCTTCTCCTTTGTACTCTACCTTCACTTTGGGCTTCCCACAGTCACTCATCACCTGGAATGGCCAGTGCTTCATATCAGACTGCACCACAGGGTCATCGAACTTCCTGCCAATCAGCCTCTTGGCATCAAACACCGTGTTCTGTGGGTTCATGGCCACCTGGTTCTTGGCTGCATCTCCAATCAGTCTCTCTGTATCGGTGAAGGCCACGTAGCTCGGGGTGGTGCGGTTGCCCTGGTCATTGGCGATGATCTCCACCTTGCCATGCTGGAAGACACCAATGCAGGAATAGGTTGTGCCCAGATCAATGCCGATTGCGACGTCCTTGGGAGGCATCATCTTGCTGGAGGATGTATAGATTTCTATAGAATATCTTCTCTGGGTCAGTAGATGAATCTGGTTCTCCTCTGCTGTGTCAGGAGATACGTCTTCTCTGTGCTGTATCAGGAACGGAGGCGTGTTCTCCTCTATGAGCTGAGCTCTGTCTTCTCTCTCTGAGTTTTACTATCTGCCTCTCTCTGTGTGGTTCAGCTCTATTTATACTCGCCAGGTCAGTTGTGAGAAAGTTCCTGACCAATCATGAGTAGTCTCAGGGAACCAGCTGGAACCTTCTGGAGACTTCCTGGGAACGTCAGCCAATAGGCACTGACCTGAGACAACATAATGAACTGTAGATGATTCCTGAAGGTGCTGGAATATTTGGGGCGGCTCTCTGCTGTCTGGATAGGGTTAACCCTTTCATCACCGGCAACTCCATGGTGGTTAGTTGGGATTGACCCTTTTGTGACTGACAGCTGCCTAGCGGTTTCATGCGTTTAACGCTTTAACAAAGTAAAGGGCTTCCTGGTGACTGGGTGACACCAATCCTCATACTATCAGCAGCTCTTATTAACTAAATACGGCTAACCCTTTCATGACTAGCGGCACCCTTAAGACTGGTGATGATTAACCCTTTTTAAAACTACAGATCACAGTTTACAGCTTTGAAGCTCTTTTCAGAGGAATAGTGGCTCTGGATAGGATTAACCCTTTGGTGACCAGCACTTCCCTAGAAGCTGACTAGTTAACCTCTTCATTACTGATGGCTATCTAAGGGGCTAGACAGGATTAACACTTTCATGGCTAATGGCTCTCTGTTGGCTGCATATGTTTATGTTTACAACCAGCATCTCCGAGTTTTTGAATACATCAGTTTTATGGTTAATGGCTGCTTAGTGGCTGGATAGGATTAACTCTTTTCTGACAAGCAGCTTCCTAGCAGCTGAATATAGTTAACCCTTTCTTGACTAATGGCTCCTGGCTGGTTTGGATATTATTAACCCTTTCATGGCTAGCAACTCCTTAATGTCTGTATATGGTTAACCCTTTCATTACCCATGAGCCTTTGCTGGCTGAATAGGATTCACCTATTTATGTGGAGCTGTTTCCTGATGGCTAGGAATTAACCCCATAATGACTAGTTGCTCCCAATGCTTGTATATGTTTGACCCTTTCTGTTGCTAGTAACAGCTCCTTGTGTTATCCTTGTCCACTCTGGTGGCTATTTTCCCCACTATCGGCTTGTTCCCAATGTCTGTGATTTTAACCATTTTATTAAAAAGTGTCTTCCACCCCATCGGTCAATGTACCATCTGCAAACCCACCAACATTTCATTTTTCATAGAGCAGTGGTTCTCAACCTGGGGGTCGAACGACCCTTTCACAGGGGTCACCCAAGACCCATGCTACACCATACTTCAAGACAAAATTTCATTTATTTGTAATTAAAAATAAATATTTCACAATATATCAAATTACATATTGTTTTTTGTGATTAATCACTATGCTTTAATTATGTTCAATTTGTAACGATGAAAATACATCCTGGATATCAGATATTTACATTACGATTCATAATAGTAGTAAAATTACAGTTATGAAGTAGCAACAAAAATAATTTTATGGTTGGGGGTCATCACAACATGAGGAACTGTATTAAAAGGTTGCGGCATTAGGAAGGTTGAGAACCACTGTCATAGAGGTTACCTAATTATAAGTCTAGGTTTAGTGCTACAAAAGTTCCGTCAACCCTTCCAAACTATGTGCCACCAGCCAAATATCTCAAAATACCATGGAATGCTACCTGCAAACCCTACTTCTCGAATATCTTTACAGCTCTGTCAGGTACCTGTAGGCAGATATCTGTAAGCCCCATGGGAGACATTCTACAAGGCAGGCTGATGTAGTGCATTATAAGTGCTTCCTATACTAAGTGCAGGCTCCCAGACACCAGGGGCGGACTGACAACTCATGGGGCCCTCAGGCAATAAGGGATCATGGGGCCCCTGTGTCCTTGCTCAAACTCAAAAAAGCCTATGAAAAGGTACCAGGGGCATCTCATGGGGCCCCCTACTGACCCCGGGCCCTCGGGCAGTGCCCGAGTTTCCAAATGGTCAGTCCGCCCCTGCCAGACACCCAACAGTAATGTTTGAATATCTGTCAGTTGTGCAAAAATAAAAACAAGTTTGATGTCTTTCATTTGGATGAGTGTTCTGGTTTTCACATGGGGACAAGTATCTGGTTAAACTGTAAAAGTGATTGGGGGTGTCGTAAGTAGCACTTTGGTAGCCTGTGATGTCTGGGTGATGGAACATAACTTATCAGGGTAGCAGGCACTTTTAAAGTGTTCACCCTGAATGCGTAATTCAGCATCTAAAATGTGATATGACTCCCCTGTTGGGGTGCAGGAGGATCCGAAAACGTTGTTTGCAGGCAGTACCCTGAGGTTCTTTGTGCTGTTTGGGTACCTCGTTAGGAAGGTGGGAGATACTTTTGCAGAGTTAAGAGCAGAGGCGGACTGACAACTCATGGTGCCCCCGGGCAATAGTGGATCATGGGGCCCCTGTTTCCTTGCCCAACTCAAAAAAGCCTATGAAAAAAGTACCAGGGGCATCTCATGGGGTCCCCTACTGACCCCGGGCCCTCGGGCAGTGCCCGAGTTTCCAAATAGTCAGTCCGCCCCTGGTTAAGAGCTAATCTTGGGACCCTGTATTCTCCAGAATGGGAGGATACATACAAGCAGGCACCAGGGAGCTGCTGCTAGTCATTAAAGGGTTAATCATTTCCATCTAGTAGGGAGCCCAGTGATTGGGATTATCATATCCAGTCACCAGGGAGCCAATAGTCATAGAGGGGAAATCCTTATACAGCTGCCAGGGGGTCTTCAGTCCTGAAATAGTTAATTATCCCAACACCAGGGAGCCCCTGCTTAGGAAAGGGTTAAATATACAGACATTGGTGGGGGTGGGGTGAATGTGTTTCTTTGTATCAATAACATTGTTTTGTAATACATTCCATCAATACATACACATGCACACTGCTTGAGGACACAGTGTTCTTACATGTTGAGTTCTGCCTGTGATACTTGTTCATTTGCAGAGTTACATAGAAGGACATAGTAGTGTTCCTCCATGTAACACCGGCTTTCTGGAACCTTCTTGAGACTACCCGGCATTCTGAGGTCACCCAACCCAACTCTAATTGGTGAGATCCTAAGGAGTCCTCGAATATTCCTGTAGCTTCCTGAATCATCTGAGGAGGATGATATCATCTCAGGTCAGTGCTGATTGGCTGATGCATCCAGGAAGTCTCTGGAATGTTCCAGCTGGTTCCCTGGGAGACAACAAAGCGTGTGCCTAGACTGTCCATGATTGGTCAGAAACTTTCTCACAGCTGAGCTGGTGAGTATAAATAGAGCTGAGCCACACAGAGAGAGGCAGATAGAAAAACTCAGACAGAGCTCAGCTCATAGAGGAGAACACACCTCTGTTCCTGATACAGCACAGAGAAGACATATCTTCTGACACAGCAGAGGAGAACCGGCTTCATCTACTGACCCCAGAAAAGACATTCTATAGAAATCTACGCATCCACCAGCAAGAAGATGGCTCCCAAGGACGTTGCAATCGGCATTGATCTGGGCACAACCTATTCCTGCGTTGGCATCTTCCAGCATGGCAAGGTGGAGATCATCGCCAATGACCAGGGCAACCGCACCACCCCAGCTACGTGGCCTTCACAGACACAGAGAGACTGATTGGAGATGCAGCCAAGAACCAAGTGGCCATGAACCCGCAGAACACGGTGTTTGATGCCAAGAGACTGATTGGCAGGAAGTTTGATGACCCCGTGGTGCAGTCTGATATGAAGCACTGGCCATTCCAGGTGGTGGTGGTGAGTGACTGTGGAAGCCCAAAGTGAAGGTGGAGTACAAAGGAGAAGAGAAAACCTTCGCACCTGAGGAAATTTCCTCCATGGTCTTGCTGAAAATGAAAGAAACAGCTGAAGCGTACCTGGGTCACCCTGTGAAGAACGCCGTGATCACTGTTCCAGCCTATTTCAATGACTCACAGCGTCAAGCCACTAAAGATGCTGGGGTCATAGCTGGTTTAAATGTGCTGAGAATCATTAATGAGCCCACAGCTGCTGCCATTGCTTATGGCTTGGATAAAGGAAGTCGAGGTGAACATAACGTTCTGATCTTTGACTTGGGAGGTGGCACATTTGATGTGTCCATCCTTACTATTGATGATGGTGTCTTTGAGGTGAAGGCCACAGCAGGTGACACCCATCTTGGTGGAGAAGACTTTGACAACCGAATGGTGAACCACTTTGTGGAGGAATTCAAGCGCAAGCACAAGAAGGACATCAGTCAGAATAAGAGAGCTCTGAGGAGGCTCAGAACAGCTTGTGAGAGAGCCAAGCGTACCCTGTCCTCCAGCACCCAGTCCAGCATTGAGATTGACTCTCTGTATGAGGGCATTGACTTCTACACTTCCATCACCAGGGCTCGCTTTGAGGAACTCTGTTCAGACCTCTTCAGGGGAACCCTGGACCCCGTTGAAAAGGCCCTGAGAGATGCCAAGATGGACAAATCTCAGATTCATGACATTGTTCTGGTCGGAGGATCTACACGTATTCCCAAGGTGCAGAAACTCCTTCAAGACTTCTTCAATGGAAAGGAGCTAAACAAGAGCATTAACCCTGATGAAGCTGTTGCCTATGGAGCTGCTGTACAAGCTGCCATCCTGACTGGTGACAAGTCTGAGAAGGTCCAGGATCTGCTCCTGCTGGATGTGTCCCCGCTTTCTCTTGGTCTAGAAACAGCAGGAGGGGTGATGACTGTACTCATCAAACACAACACCACCATTCCCACCAAACAGACACAGATCTTCAGCACCTACACTGACAACCAGCCAGGTGTCCTCGTCCAGGTCTTCGAGGGTGAGAGGGCAATGACAAAGGACAACAACCTCCTAGGCAAGTTTGAACTGAGTGGCATTCCTCCAGCTCCACGTGGAGTGCCACAAATTGAAGTAACTTTTGACATTGATGCCAACGGAATCCTCAATGTGTCTGCTATGGACAAAAGCTCAGGAAAGCAGAACAAAATCACAATCACCAATGACAAGGGCAGACTGAGCAAAGAGGAAATAGAGAAGATGCTGCAGGAGGCAGAAAGGTACAAGGCGGATGATGATGTCCAGAGGGAGAGGGTTGCTGCTAAGAACTCTCTGGAGTCCTATGTCTTCAATCTGAAGAGCACAGTGGAGAATGACAATATCAAGGACAAAATGAGTGCATCAGATAAGAAGGCCATAGTGGATAAGTGTAATGAGGTCCTGTCATGGCTGGACAAGAACCATCTGGCTGAGAAAGAGGAGTACATCCACCAGCAGAAGGAGCTGGGAGAGAGTATGTAACCCTATCATCTCCAGATTGTACCAAGGGGCAGCAGGAGGTGGGATGCCAGGATCCAGCTGCAGTTCTCAGGCCAGACAAGGCTGCAACCCCGAACCTACCATTGAAGAGGTGGATTAAAGACTGCATGGTGTTTACTACAGAAGGACTTGTATGTGAATTTTGGGAATGGTCACTATTGCAGAGTTAGATTACGGACAGTATAACATTTATATAAGGACTTTTATGTGATTAATTTGACTGAGAAACACTGAAGAAAAGGACTAAATACAGAACTCAACAAGTAAAAGACCTAAGCAGTGGATGAAGAGGGACAGAGTACAGTGTGTTTTTGTAGGCCATGAAACATAGCAAGCACACTGCATTTTTTTTAATTTTAGGAAAATGTTTGCATTTGTTTTATGTTGACATCTAATGTATATATCCTAATTGTTTTTTTTTTTTTAATAAATATTCATATTCTTTTTTTTTAATCTTTTGTGTTTCTTTGTTACGTTAAATATAAAAAATATTTGAAATGTTTTCATTATAATATTAGTTATGTTTATAGGAGATTAAAAGTTTTAATATTGGAAAATTGTAGGATAATTCTAATAGTATGGGGCATTATAAGATCAGTAAACTGAGTTACAAACACATTTTGTAGTCAGGACTATGTAAGGGGTAGGTCATTCTGTGCAGATAGTTTGCAGCATCTGTGCTACACATCATCTACAGCTTTACTACTACTAGCTGTTTTATGTCCTGATAGGAGCTGATGGTTGGGTACAGAGAAAGGTGTCCACACTAAAATGAAAATGGTGTTCACAAAAACACAAGCTGGAGCCATCTTATCTCAAGATGTCTGTGCAGAAATATGAATTTCAAGGGAAATTTCACAGCAAAGTGAAAGTTCTGTTACCCTTCTTGCCTCCTCAAGACTACCCCACTGATCTAATCAGCGTACTGGAACCCCTAGACTCCTACGGGGCCGAGGACACGTTTCAATAGATGGCCCCTATAGAAAATGCACAGGCAGTGCAAAGAACTAGGTAAAGCTGACCATACATTAACCCTTGCCCTCCTGAGGATTTCCCCCCCTCCTGACCAGACCATTTTTTGCGTTACAGTGCTGCGTTAATTTAACTGACAATTGCGTGGTCGTGCAACGCTGCACCCAAATGAAATGTACATCCTTTTTTCCTCCATGTATTGAGCTTTCTTTTGGTGGTATTTGATCGCCTGTGCGTTTTTTTTTTTTTTTTTCATTTTTGCGCTATAAAAAAAAAGACTGACCATTTTCAGAAAAAAAAATATTTTTCACTTTTTGGTATTAAACATATCCAGTAAAAAAAAATTTAAAAAATCAAATTTTGTCATAAATTTAGACCAAATTGTATTCTGTTCCGTGTCTTTACTAATAAAATCCCAATATGTGTAAATTAATTGGTTTACGTGAAAGTTATAACGTTTACAAATGGTGGCATATATACTGGAATTTATTTATTTTTTTTCTAAATTTTTACTAGTAATGGCGGCGATCAGCGACTTATAGCGGGACTGCCAGATTGCAGGACTGTGGAGGGCAATCTGACACTGTGGGGAACTGACTTGGTGTCACCAACATCCCCAGTGACAGCAATACAGTGATCAGTGCTAAAAAAAAAAAACACTGACACTGTACTAATGGCACTGGGCAGGAAGGGGTTAATATGAGGGGCAATCAAAGGGTTAACTGTGTGCTGGGAGTGTTTTACTAGGGGGCAGTGTGTTAGTGCTTCACTGTAATCACACTGTGCTGTGCATAGCCATCCAAAGCAGTGTGCCCGAGCTGACAGGGAGGAGAACTGATTTGTTTACAAACAGTTCTCCTCCCCGTCGGAGATCCCTGGCAATCACCGGGTGCTGGCGAGTAATCACCAGCTGGGACCCAGTGATTGACAGCCGCGGCCGCAGGTGGGGCCCCCTACCCGGAAATGCAAAATCATGCATACATATGTACGTGATTTTGCACACCCGTCCTGCCCTGTGGCAGTATTTCTGCTATAGGGCGGACGGGAAGCAGAGGCGGACTGACCATTTGGAAACTCTGGCACTGCCCGAGGGCCCGGGGTCAGTAGGGTGCCCCATGAGATGCCCCTGGTACCTTTTTCATAGGCTTTTCTGAGTTTGGGCAAGGACACAGGGGCCCCATGATCCCCTATTGCCCGGGGGCCCCATGTCAGTCCACCCCTGGCTGAATGAAAAAAAAAAAATGACCCAATTCCACCATCCACACATTCAAGGTGGATGGGACAATCTCTCCTGTTGTGCTTTTGTGTTCTGATTGCGGGGAAACTTTCCCGCCTTCAAAACACGTTGATCAGGGTTGCCGGCTACAGTCACACTGGACATTTTCTTTGAAATTGCACTAAAAATCGCACCGCATACGTGTGAACCTAGGCATAGATGTGATGGTTGCATTAGATGTTAGTTTTTTTAAAGTGGTTGTAAAGGATGAAGGTGTTTTACCTTCGTGTATTCTATGTATGAAGGTAAAAAACCTTCTGGGTGCAGCTCCTTCAGCCCCTCAATACTTACCTGAGCCCCATCGCGATCCAGCGATCTGCATGACAGCTTCGGCTGTCCCGGGTCTCTGCCTCCTCATTGGCTGAGACAGCAAATGGGTGCCATTGGCTCTCGCTGCTGTCAGTCACAGCCAGTCAGCCATTGAGGAGAGAGAGGAGGTGGCGCTAGGCCATCGCACACAGAGCAGCGGGTGCCCCATAGCAAGCTGCTTGCTGTGGGGGCACCCGACAGACAGGAGGAGCCAGGAGAGCCTGTGGGGGACCCGAGAAGAGGAGGATCCAAGCTACATTTTCTGCATAGAATCTCCTCCATGCTCTTGAGACTGTGCTGGGGGACACAGCAAACCTTCTGGCAATGGCATGTATTGATGTGCCATCCTGGAGGAGTTGGACTGCCTGTGCAACCTCTGTAGGGTCCAGGTATGGCCTCATGCTACCAGTAGTGACACTGACCCTAGCCAAATGCAAAACTAGTGAAAAACAGTCAGAAAAGATGAGTAGCGAAAAATGTCAGTGGCCTCCACCTGTAAAACCATTCCTGTTTTTGTGGGGGTCATCTCATTGTTGCCCATCTAGTGCACGTTAACACCAAAGCAGCTGAAACTGACTAACAACCCCCTCTGCTACTTACCTGACCAGATCAATATCCCAGGAGTTTCATTGACTTGATGCTAGACTCTGATTAAAAATCTTCCTTTCATTTTTTTGATGAGTGTATTTACCAACCACTCGATTTAAATCTGATCAGATCAGACCTCACACTTCATGGGTGTAGAATCTAAAGGCGATTGAACATCCTTATACAGATCATCCCACTGGCAGATATGGGGGTTCGGGATTCATCCATCTGGATCACTGACTCCGACAACAACTGGTTGGGAACCAGAGTAATTTTCGACTTTCCTCTATTGTCTATTAATTTCTTTGTCATTATGTTTGATACAGGAGGCACACATACAGGTGAAACTTGAAAAATTAGAATATCGTGCAAAAGTTCATTTATTTCAGTAATGCAACTTAAAAGGTGAAACTAATGTATGAGATAGACTCATTACATGCAAAGCAAGATAGTTCAAGCCGTGATTTGTCATAATTGTGATGATTATGGCTTACAGCTCATGAAAACCCCAAATCCACAATCTCAGAAAATGAGAATATTACATGCAATCAATAAAACAAGGATTGTACATAGAACAATATCGGACCTCTGAAAAGTATAAGCATGCATATGTACTCAGTACTTGGTTTGGGCCACTTTTGCAGCAATTACTGCCTCAATGCAGCGTGGCATGGAAGCTATCAGCCTGTGGCACTGCTGAGGTGTTATGGAAGACCAGGACACTTCAATAGCGGCCTTCGGCTCTTCTGCATTGTTCGGTCTCATGTCTCTCATCTTTCTCTTGGCAATGCCCCAAAGATTCTCTATGGGGTTCAGGTCAGGCGAGTTTGCTGGCCAATCAAGCACAGTAATCCCACAGTCATTGAACCAGGTTTTGGTGCTTTTGTCAGTGTGGGCAGTGCCAAGTCCTGCTGGAAAATGAAGACAGCATCCCCAAAAAGCTCGTCTGCAGAAGGAAGCATGAAGTGCTCCAAAATCTCCTGGTAGACGGCTGCATTGACCCTGGACTTCATGAAGCACAGTGGACCAACACCAGCAGATGACATGGCTCCCCAAATCAACACAGACTGTGGAAACTTCACACTGGACTTCAAGCATCTTGCAGTGTGTGCCTCTCCATTCTTCCTCCATACTCTGGATCCTTGGGCCTCTCCATTCTTCCTCCATACTCGGGGTCTTTAGTTTCCAAATGAGATGCAAAAGTTGCTCTCATCAGAAAAGAGGACTTTGGACCACTGAGCAACAGACCAGGTCTGTTTTTCTTTAGCCCAGGTAAGACGCTTCTGACGTTGTTTGTTGTTCAGGAGCAGCTTGACAAGAGGAATACGACATTTGAAGCCCATGTCCAGGATCCGTCTGTGTGTGGTGGCTCTTGATGCACTGACTCCAGCCTCAGTCCACTCCTTGTGATAGTCCCCAACACTTTTGAATGGCCTTTTCCTGACAATCCTCTCCAGGCTGCGGTCATCCCTGCTGCTTGTGCACCTTTTTCTTCCACACTTTTCCCTTCCACATAACTTTCTATTAATGTGCTTTGATACAGCACTTTGGGAACATCCAACTTCTTTTGCAATTCCCTTTTGAGGCTTTTCCTCCTTATGGAGGGTGTCAATGATGGTTTTCTGCACAACTGTCAGGTCAGCAGTCTTCCCCAGGATTGTGATTCCTACTGAACCAGACTGAGAGACCATTTAAAGGCTCAGGAACCCTTTGCAGGTGTTATGGCTTAATTAGCTGATTAGAGTGGGACACTTTGAGCCGAGAATATTGCACCTTTTCACAATATTCTCATTTTCTGAGATTGTGGATTTGGGGTTTTCATGAGCTGTAAGCCATA